CCGGTCCAGAAGTCGCTCTCGATTCCTGTTAGGAATGACGTTACGTCATTGAGCATTACTTTTCTTAACGTTAAGCCGTCATTCGTGCCTGCCAAGCACAAACTTCCTAGAGACTCGGCAGGAAATGCTCTCTTTCCGTTTATCGGAATTATAATATCAGGATGTCTATTTTTGGAAAAATCGGAGACTTATCTGGAGAAAATCCAGAGAGTTTTCATGGCATTTTTTCTCCTAAAATAAATTTGGCCATTTTTTCCTTTGTTAGTGATCTTTTACTTAATACTCTTGTTTGAGAAACAATTTTTTTTTTTGTTTAATATTTTTATTTTACATTTTTGCATATATCTTTAGCGTTTATAGATATAGTGCTATATTGCACTCTGTTGTATTGTTCAAAATTAATTTTACGATTAATAAATCGATATCGAAATGCTAGAAAAAATTGCATTCTTGCATAACTTTCTTTGTATTCGTATGGACAGAAAATATTACAAGTATAGCGAATAAAGAAACTTACTCTTAAACAAAAATACCTGGGAGGGAATTTGTTTATAAGATTTTAATAGACACTGATAAATTAATCGGAAAATAATGATGTTATTTTCATAATTGAGTGATCATTTTACCGAGTCATAAGCATCTAATAAGAATATTGCTTCTTACGCACGTTTTTTTAGATTCACGATGATTAATTGTCATTTTATCTCATAACAATTTTGGAATGTGATATATTTATATATTATATTTTGTTATCCTTGTCCGTCCACGCGCGTGACCTTTCATAGTTTTGTCGGAGGAAGGTTCCTTCCGTCTGTACAACACGTCGCCGTATCAGTCAGTCGTTTGCATTGCGAAACGCATTAAGCGCATCGTTGCACCGAGCGTGCAATTGCGCGCAGCGCGTGCCCGTCTAATATCGTTTTCTCTCTCTCTCTCTTTCTCGTATTTAGCGGTTTTACAAAGTACCCGGTTGCACCTGGTGTACACGCGACCATCCGGGATACGAGCAACCAGTTCTTCACGGTCTCGTATTGCATCGAACGGACGCTTAACTTACAATTAGTACGATGCACTTAAGACGACGCATCCTCGTGCCCGTCGAGAGAGCTCGTGTCAGATGTACGACACATCCTTAGACAATCGGAACCGTTAGAGGTATATTTACTACGCATCGAATGAAAAATGCGCGACGCTTTATTTGCCGATCGAAAAAAAATGCGTATATAAGAGAAGGAATTATGCTTATGCGAGATTTCTCGATGCCGCGTGCGAACGTAAGTTGTAACTTGAAAATTTTACGCGAAGGAAAAATATATGCCGTAAACTATATGGTTGGAAGAGAATTTGACATTTTATATATGTTGGTACGCAAATTTCTTTCTCTTTCATTTGATAGTTTTCGCTTCGAAATCGAAATCGCCATCGTACTATATCGTTGAAAATATCTGCAGCTCGATCGTCGTCGATACTCGACCTTTCCATCTCATAACCTGCCCCAATGTTACGTAAATGTAAATCGCCTAAGCAGATTTCGCGAGGGTCAGATCACGTTTTGGTGTCGTGTGTCCCCGTTTGTTGGTTTGCAAATTTTATATTCGTCACAACTGAATCGGGACTGATATATTGCTGACCGTGCACTTTTGCACACGCGAGTCGCAGTTTTCGTCTAGCCACTCACGTGCCGCTCGCTAAAAAAAGACACATTGATATTTTTTTAATTTCAAACTGAAATATTCAAGCTCAAATATTCATCGAATTAATGCACTCTGGAATGTCACGCGTCAAACAAAACCGCTTTCTGTACAATATATATCCAATCCGCTCTTCTTAAGTATAGATAAGCGCGAATTTTTTTGCTCGAAAATTAACAAATTTTGTTTTTGTAAAAAACATTTATCTCTTCATTAAATTGTTAAAAACAATTATCTTAATTTATCTATTATATATAGCTTATTCATATATGTGTAGTATATTATATAAGTATATATACTATATATATTATAAGTATAAAATATATATATATATATATATATAATATACCATATATAAAAATGTATATAATTAATTATCAGATAAGAAATCTTTTTGTCAGCTCTCAATATTAAATAATAATAATATATAATATTTTTCTCCACATGTAAGTTCGAGATTAATTTATATATGGAACTTAGTAGTCTCAAACCAAGAGATACAGTTCCGAAAAATTAATTTTTCGCGCTTTATTGGCCGATTTAAAATATTATATATTATTATAATTAATTATGTATTCGTAAACGAAAAAAAAAAAAAAAAAAAAAAAGTCGCATACGCGCTTATCGATGATTCTTTTCTCTCCTGTCGGGCGGCAACCAGGTTTGTTGGAGGATGAGGGAGAGCACCGCGAGGAATCGTCGACATCGCGCGAAGATCGGCTCTGGACACGTACCGGTATGCAGATACGTGCCCAGGGCAGCGCGCGACTCGCCAAGGCCGCATCCGTATTGACATCACCGCGGCGCGAACGTTACGTTACGGGCAGTGTTTTCGTTTGCTTTAAGCCGGGCCGCGCTTCTTTACCTTGTTTGGGACACGTTAATGCGCACCCGGAGATAAAGTGCACGTGCGCGACGGTCCTTCTCGCACGCGCTTAATTGTACGTGTAATAAAAAGGAAAAAAAAAATGTTTTTATTCTATACGAATTATAAAATTTGAAGAGGCCAGCGATGTTTATGAAAGGGAGAATAAATATTATTTGTATTTCTGATTTTTTTTCTCTCGCTTCGCGATTTCAGACGGTACTTAGTTTATATCCATCTGCGTGATTTGAATGACAAGTGCGTAAGGCCTTACGCGTTTAAGTTAAAAAAATCGAATAAATTCAAACTTCGAAGCTTAATATTCGAAATTCAAATTGAAAGGGGAGGATAAAAAGAAATGTAACAATGCATATTTAAATATAACAAGCTATAAGCAACGAATATATTGAATCACCTATTATTATAGTTGCTAGAAGTATATATAAAGATAAATAAAATAAAGATATCACGATATGTTCAAACACGCTCAAACAACGTATTTACTCCGAATCTTGTTTAATTTATAACCGCGTACCAATTGATACGTCACTACTTTGGCTCCCGTGCATTTTTTCTTGTAACAATCTGGAGGGTAACTTCTCCTAAGGCTCTCACATTCTCGGACGACAAGATAATGTCACGCTGGATTTAGAGCTGCACAAAAAGAAAGAAATCGGTTTAAGTGGAAACTCATAATTCGCCTCGTCGCCGTCATTGCGTCCCTCGAAAGACCCTTTCGTCTCAGGTCTATATACCTGAGAAAGAAAGAGACCCCCAGGGACGACTTTGAGTGGTCGGTGAAAGGATATAAACAACTCTTCGTAATGGCAATGGTAATAGATAATGGAGTACCCGTGTCGTTCCGGTCATTATGCGGGGTCACCACAGGGTAGAGTTCGCCACGCAGCGAACAAGAACGTTGTTCCTTCTCGAGAGGGAAAACCCCTTCGTGATACCCCCTTTCATTGGGGCACGCGCCCGCATTCGCCGAGTCGAACTTCCGCGATTTTCGCTCTCACCCGCGAGAGTCACCTTCCGGTGTCTTCGACGCGGAACGTCGATAAAAAATGAAAAAATTTTAAAAAACCGTTTGTTAGGTATTATCAGACGTGCGTTCGCTTCAGCTGCGTGAACACGAGAAAATATGAATACGAGTGATGAAAAGACTAATAACTGTCATTGGTTCTTATTAGTCTTTTTCACTCGTTATTATTATTTTTTCGTTAATAACAGTAATAATATAACGAATGATATGGCTAAATCGCTCTTATTTTAAATAACAAAGATAGAGAATCTATTGCTGTAAGAGCCAATATATAATGCTTAGCAAATTTGCCAAGATGAGAAACTATCTCAATTTGAGATATAATTAAATCTCGATTTGAGATAGTTTCTCATCTTGGCAAATTTGCTAAGCATTATATATTGGCTCTTACAGCAATAGATTCTCTATCTTTAATAATAATATAATACTAGCTCTTAGCCTACTTATCACTCATGTTAAAATTCAGAGCCTTTTTTATTTTCTATCGATCGAGAAAATATGAAGTTTACGCCAGGAAACTCTATACGTATCTTGTAATGAGGCAATATGTTTACAGATGACTCGCAATAAAAAGTAAGAGTGACTCTCGCCTGGGTATTTCGGTCGGTTCATGCGATGCATGCCGATCCAAATCCCATGGGTAGGGGCGTATTCGTTGGTTCGAGACGTGATTTCTACACAAGAAACACGAGGCGCGCACGAGCCTCAGCGAGCGAAGTTTGTTGCTTCGAATGCATATTTGTTTGTTTCTTTTTTTTTCAAGTGTATTCAATTTTCCTTAAATAACTTCGAAACCGATCATCCTCAAATATATCATCGCTATAGAACTGTAACGAGAGAAAAGTACATTTTTTTAATAATCAAATTTCGCTATTACAATCGTTATATTAATTTTTCTTGAGCCAAGCAAAACTTCTCTGTTAATCTGCAATTGATGATGTCAAAATTATACTGAATATTTCTGCGTCTTATATATTGTATTAGAATATATTAATTATATTATAATTTATAATATTTATTATTCTCTTAGAAAGAATTTTATAAAAGCTTCTCCGATTAATATATATATTTATCACAATAAAAAACATTAAAAATCTACCACAGTAAGATATAAAATATGTTCGATTAATTTTACTATGTACATAGCAAAATTTACTGTGTACATTATTAATCTTTTTTATTGTGATAAATGTTTATCTGAGAAACTCATAAAATTCTTCCAATACCATATTGTCCCACGATTACCATGATTTTCGAGATAAATTTTAAGAAAAAATTCTCTCTGTGTACCATAATATAAATTATGATATAATTTATATTATTTCGTATTAATTTATATCATAATATAATGTGTATATATATATATATATAGTATAAATGAATTTTTTTCTTGTTACAGTTCGTCATATCGACCAGTGAACAACGTAAGTACGATGGGGATCGCAACCGGAACAGGGGGTACTTATACTCTCCCTTATATGAACAGTCCGGAGTTGGCGTCGTCTCAGATTTGGAACTCTCAAGGTACGTCATACATTAGTACCGTGGACATAATTGACGAGATAAGCTTGCCCAACTATTCGTTTTAATGTTATTAGACTATGGATGACTGTCCAATGTCTACGACTATTCTTGCCGATAATCCTGGCGCGACTCGAAGAAAAGCTTAGAAATTCTTTTAAGGGGTTTTGCCGTTTTTGTAAAGAGATGCAGAGGGATTTCTCTCATAAACTATATATATATATATATAGTTTTGTAGCTCTCTAAATTTCTTGGAGTGAAAACCGAAGAATCTCATTCCAAAGAGTGGAATTTTACTCCAGAAGAGTGAGATTCCATTCCTTTGGAATGAGACTGTTCAGCCCTCACTCCAAGAAATTTAGAGAGTGTGCCCATATATTTTGTGATAAATTTTGAGAGAAGTCAAAGAGATAAAATCACGTTAACAATTATACTTACCATAAATCACGATTTTAGTAATATGGCTTAATTAAATTTAGGGTTGATTGATTGTTCATTCTCTTGTCAATCGTATCGCAAATGTGCGGACAGACTTCAAGTGGATGTTAACAAGTTCAAAACTTTCGTGCGTTAAAATCCACTCAAAAAAAACCGCCTGAATGGTATCTGTATAGATATACAATAATTTATTTAGTTCCAGTAAATAATGTCCCTGACATTTTTAAAGAAAGAAAAGAATACAACGTATATATATCTATATCGGCTAAAGAAAAGAATGTTCACGAAGATTGAAGAGCAAAAAAAAGGTCCGCACGCCGTCCAGCTTCTTGGAAATTCTTCGGGCTCGTTATACTGATACAATGCACCTTTTTTTTGCATTTTTCAACAGGTCTAGGCTCCACGCTTCCAATTTCTGAAGATTATGGCAGCACGAAAGCTTCAGGTACCGTGTCTCATCAATCTTTGCCGGCTTTTTCGCAACCATTTGCACGAAACAGCTTCCGTTATAGTCCACCTTACGCGACCTCTCAGCAAAATGCCACCGGCACCACCGGGGCTGCCGTGGAGGCTTCTTGGACGTACGCATCGCCCACGAGCGATCCGCTGACAACACAATACAACACATTCTCGAAACGTCAAACCGTAAACGTGACGGCGCCGACGCAGATGTCCGCTGCAGCGAGTCTAAATGCAAGTGAGTCTATATTTTTTTTCTTTCTATTCTAATCAAATAGCCACGATATTAAGACTTCTTTTTTTATTTACGTTCAAACGGAGTGTTTACGACACAGCTAGATGCAGCGAGATTAGGTATAAAATTAGAATTGGGATTGTAGTTTTATTAATTAACCCTCTTAACCACAGAGTGGTCGCGCTATTATTCAACGGAACATCTGTCATCCGTTTTAAAAGACGAATTGAAAATTACAAAATTTATGTTATGATATATTATTTATTTATTTCGATATATGTATATATTAAACTTGAATTTTAAAAAGCATTGACACGTAAGAAAAATGAAAAAAGTTGTAGACTTGATAACTAACAATGTCATCTGCGTAATCGATCAATGCAAAACTTTCTATTTGTATAATTAAATAAATCTCATATAATTTTTCGAAATTAGAAGATTCGTTATTTTTTCTCTCGTGAACGAATCTGAAAATGTATACACGCGATCGTGGCGTTAAAGGGGTTAATGAAAACAATTGATTAAAGGCAGGCGAATCGCATAATGTTCATCGTAAAATTTTAAACATATCGATAATCTCATTCGTTTCGTTTTAATACTACAATAGAAAAAAAAGTAACAGTGAGGAATCCGTGTTAAATTCGTACAGTGATAACAAGATTTATACTTGTATCGCTTCTGACAATTCATCCCGTATCGATATATGCAGCGATCGTCGCGTATTCTCACGGATTTAGATTATTAAAATCGCGACGTTCGTGTCTCCGACGATGAAAACCGTGGGGGATATCGGCCAGTCCTGCGATAACACAAACGTGTGTTGTAATTTTATTCGATTCGTGGAAATTGACGAGAAACATTCCTCATAGTTTATTAATCATCGCGATTTGTTTGCTGGATGTATATCATTTTTTCACGTGCAACCCCAGCACTTTGTGATAATACGTTCGAATCTTTATCTTCTATTTCATAGTCTGATTCTCCTTCATTTAAAGTCATCCATATCCTCGAGAAACAATTGTTTTATTTATTAATTTTTTTTATTTCTCGTACGCGCACGTATTAGCAATTTTTGTTTACTATTATTGAAGTATTCAAAATTATTTTTACATCGTTACATTATTAGAAAAATCGCACAAAAGTTGCTTATATTTATACAACACAAAATTCATGCCGTACTAGGCATTTATGAATGTAAATTGATTAAAAATTTAATATCATTTTTTCTTAATTAAATTAAATTAAATAATACGACGAAGGAAAGTCAGCGAGCTCCAAATCGAGATTATTTCCTCGCTTTTTCTTCCCACATATTTTCCGACACATTCTTCATAATTCTTCGAAGCAGTTCTCGTAACACGAAACCGCAAAGTGCAGGTAACGTAAGCGAGCTGCAAGTGACCGATGAGTAAAGCAACCCTCGTCCGTGGTGGTCCTTGAGATTCCAAAATCCAGAGCTCTTTTGCTCCTTGGTGGGCCGCGCCGCACCCGGCGCGTTGGCCGCATGCGTTCCCAAAGTGGGCGGTGTCCTTTGATGATCCTTCGTCGCGCGCATCTGCGTTCGTATATGGAAATAAATGGAACGCCGGCGCTAAAGCACACATGCGAGGTTGTCGCTTGCCGCGCGCGTGGATATTGTCAAACGTGAGATCGGTGGGCGTGTGCACACACACACACACACACACACGCATAGACACGCTTCCTCGAGATCTCAAATTCGCGACACGCACGTTGTTTCCTTATTTTTCCAATTTTTTTCGAAAATTGTTTTCGACTAATCAACAGCTGTTTTATTTTTGATTGGATCGAATGTCTTAATTGATTAAGTGTGTGTAATCAATTCGCCAGTAAAATAATTAAAAAACTGAAGAGTATGTATGTAACATTAAAAAACGACCAACACTGGGCAATAAATTTAATATCTCATAACGTTTCGACCTCTGGTTTAGGTCGTTTTCAAATGAAAATTCTCTTTAAGATGACAATATAGATAAAGTAGTGAGATACTTTATAACATATCACGATGTATAAAAAGAAAACTTTATGTCTTAAAAGACGTCTCGTCAACTTTTTGAACACGCATTGTTACTAACGTCAGTAACAATGCGTGTTCAAAAGTTGACGAGACGTCTTTTAAGACATAAGGTTTTCTTTTTATATATTGTGATATATTATAAGGGTATCTCACTACTTTATCTATATTATCATCTTAAAGAAAATTTTCATTTGAAAATGACCTAAACCAGAGGTTGAAACGTTATGAGATATTGGATTTAATAAAGAATTTATTGCCCAGTATTAGTTGTTTTTTAATGTTACATACATACTCTTCAGTGTTTTATTTTTATATAATTAATTTTTTAATTTTTTATATCATTTTTTAGAGAGAAAAAAGAAAATTCGCGACACAAATGTTTCCTTATCCAATTTTTTTCGAAAATTTTTGTGACAACTAATCGTCTACTATTTTATTTTATATCATTTATTTTTTATCATTATTTTTATATCATTTTCGTGCGAGTTTTCTCGTTGATTATCGGATATTGATGATCTTATTCGTTGAATTTCGTTCTCTGAAAGTTTTCAGTGATTTTTAGTGATTAATTTTGGATAATGAATTGACTTTAACCCAAACTCTCCGTGATGATCAACGGTGTGTCGTATTACGGTCGTCATAAATAATAAGAAAAAAGGATTCGATATTTCGTTTAGTGGAAAATCGAATAACAGAAACGAGATCGGATCACTCCCGGGTAAGTCATACAGTTTTGACTAATTCGTCCACTAAATTAGGGCGGTCCCGGCAGACCACTCGTATATCGCGTTTCGGTTTTCTCTTACTTGGTTCCTGCTGGTGATATTTCTCGACTTTTTTTTAGTTTGCATCCCGTAAAATTATTTGTGAGCAACGTTATATTAATATCGGATGATCGATGGGATAGGTGGTGCGTATCTTTCACGAATTTATATTCGTTATCATGAGAGACTTATCGAAGATTTATCGTTTGCATTCGGGTCAGTCGCGCTGGCTCTGTTGCTGACCCGTCGACTTTGTAAACGAGAGTCGGCGATATCAAATCCGCGCTTTTATTGTGTCTTGTTGGCTTGTCAAAAAAACGGATTGACTTAATAAACACAAACTTTTTTCAACTCGCGCAATCGATTATTTATAAATACTCGTCTCTCGCTCAAAACTTTTTAATTGAGGCATTTAAAGATAGAGGAATGTATCTATACTTTTTCTCAAAATAAGTAACATATATTTCTATTTCTCCTTAATTTTTCGCAGTATCCAACGGGAAAGAAAAATTTATAGTGTATTATTTCGCGCGTCATCTTAATTTCGTAAAAATATTAAACTTTATTTTTACCTTATATTATAAAAATTTAATTATTACTTCATGAATTTTTTCTAAAGTTGTAGAAATAAATCTCCTTTTTTTCTCGAAATATAGTAATTATGATATCCATTCCTCCCTAAATTTTTCGCGGCATTCAACGAAGAAGACAAATTTGTAATTTGTATTATCTCGTCATCTTAATTTCGTAAAAATTTTAATCATTACTCTGAATTTTTTCCAAGATGAAGGAATACATCTTTTTTTCTTGAAATAAGTAGTATATATATTCATTAATTTAGGAAACGCATTTCCTTTAATTTCGTAGAGGTCCAATTATTCTCTTCGCGATTCTCGAACTGCAAGTCCAGTTTTTATCGTCTACGATTTCGGGCCTTGCCAGTGAAAAGGAGACCGTACGAAGAAATTCTGACTTATGTAGTCTGTGCACCTGTTCCCGCGAACGTCACGCGCGCTATCGAAGGAGGCGAACATTGATACGACCATGACCTAGGTTGCAGCAACCGGCAGCCTAATCTAGTTGCGTCTACGCGCGATACGCGGAGGTAACGATAGGGCTGTATCTAGCGGGGACAGCGTCGGCTTACGATAATTCCACCGTAATGTGTGTATATATATTCTTCGGGCGTAACATCTCTTAGGTATCTAATCTAAAAAAACCGGTCAGTGACACACGCAGCGAAACTGCCTGATATCTGAAATGGAAACGACACACATCGTCGCCTTTTTCTCCGGAATAATCGCGATTTTAGCGGTGGAAACTTGTTTACCAAAATGTTCACTTCCGGTTTTTCGATCGATGTTCCAGACGTGTAAGATCGTTGAATCTACAGCTGTCAATCAAGCGCCGAAGAGGCATACATATGCTTTTAACTCTTCTGTCAATGAACGGACACTCAAAATAATTTCAAGTGTCAAAAGTGTATTTTTTCTCCGCTTGAAACAAAAATACAGAGAATTTTTTTTTTTTATTCGGAAACATCCTAAAATATAACGGATAACAATGTTTGATATTCAGAGTATCAGCTGTTATGATAAAGAAATAATATAAATTGCTCTATAATAAATATATAATATATATAAAATATATAATATACCAAATTTTTATTGTAATATATAAAATAAATATCAGCTGCTGCTATGATAAAGAAATGTGTCGAAAATGCGATTGGTATCCGAGAACTCATATACATTGATATGAAAAAATATGCATCGACAGAAGGGTAAATGATGTCGCTGATGCGAATTAAAATCGCGATGCGCCTTTATGTCTCGTGGCAATGAAATATCACGTTCGCGGAGCGTGTCATGCGGAGGATAAGTAGTTTGATTAATTCGCGAAATATCTTTGTGTGTCGTTCTCTTTTTAAAATACCTCCTCCTCCCCGTTTCGTTCGCAATTAATTCTGAATCTTATGCAAGCCCAAGTTCACGACCGTGGCCGATATCATGCGCGGGCTCGCTCTCTTTCTTTTCCCTGTTTTCGGGTAATATAATTAAGTCTCGCTGAGAGGCTTGATAACACCGAATACATAGTAACGTTAATTGAACGCGTTTCTTCGACGTTGAATTCATTTTAGTCATTAATAATGATACCGAGAGATAAAGTGTTGGCTCCTCCAGGTTCACGGAGGTCACGATCCA